ATAAAATTGATTTTACTTTTTATATAAATATTTAAATATTATACATATTGTACGCACGTTTTTTAGTTGGGAAACACCCTAGTGTTTTTATTGTACTTGGTCGCCAAACATCCGGAAGTACAAGAAARGTTGTATAACGAGGTGTCGGGACTGGCTCCGGCGGGTACATCTATTACCACTGAACATTTACACAAGGCCACATATTTGCAAGCATGTATAACTGAAGCTCACAGGTAATGGCATTTAAGTTATGATAAAATATACAATTATTTTTTTATTGATTAGCTTATTGATATGTATCACGTTCTCCAGGCTTAAACCCACTGCTCCGTGCATTGCAAGAGTGCTGGAATCGGAAATAGAATACGACAACTACCGATTGCCATCAGGGGTAATAGTTTGGTGACATCATTTTTTTACTCGTACCTTAATAATCATTATTTTACGAGTATACGAATAATATWTTTACTTTAGACTGTCGTGTTGCTGCACACTGGGTTGGCGTGCTTGGACGAAAACAATTTTAAAGACGCAACCTTGTACAGACCGGAAAGGTGGCTGGACGAGTTGACGAAAAAATCACCGTTTTTGGTCGCACCGTTCGGTTGTGGCAAACGAATGTGTCCGGGGAAGCGATTCATAGAACTAGAACTACAAATTGTCTTRGCAAAAGTAAGCAACATATAGCATTTACAAAGTGTGAAAATCAACAATTAATTAWTTATTACTTTGTTTTAAGATGGTCAAGCAATTTCAWATCGACTTTGAAGGACAACTGAAAACTGAATTTGAATTTCTTTTGACACCCATTGACGCAAATTTTATTTTACGAGATAGAATTTATTGATGTTATTAAATTTAAATGATTATAATTTAATACTGGACCTATAGGTACATATATTTAATAATAATTTATATTATGATGTTCAAATTTTTACTTTATCGTACCTACTGTGACAAAGTTAAACATATCACATTTTACCTATATTTTTGTTTTAAATTATGATTTAGTGAATCCACTATACAATATACATATATAATCATGTGTATAATTATATATATTATAGCATAAACTATACATTTTTGTATGAGTGGCCGCGCGTTTGTGTGTTTTTTATAATTATTATTAAAAAAAATGCATATACATATTAACGTTTATTCGTTTTAATTTTATCCTCCAAATGTGGGTAAGTAATATTTTTTTTAAAAATAATCTCTTGTTAGTTTTATCTTTTTATTATTATTCAAAGCCCATTCATAATGTACTCATGTACTCATATGTTTCATTGCACAGTTTCAAATATGTGTTATTTATATTRTTATTATTTATAATATACCTACATCAACAATATTTAATACTCAGTTTTATTATTAAATTGTCATAACAGGAAAAATATATTACTATAATTATTATAATAAAAAATCATATTTTATGTTAGTTTGCCAAATAATTGTTTTTGTTATTTTAAATTTAATTATAAAACAATAATAGTTATTGTAATAAAGAATTATGTAGGTACTATATTTTCCTGAATCAAATGTTATCCATTAATCATAGTTGTAAAATATAATTGAATCATCGCACAAACATCACATTTCTTAATTATTCTTAAAATAATAATAATAACGTTTATTTATGAAAAACACAATATAATGAATATTTTATATATTTTTATAATATATAATCATATAATACGAGTCCATTTAATCACACTTATATCACGTAGCGACGTAGCAGACCGAAGTATCGTTATTTGTTATTATATACAAAGTAAAACAAAACAAATAGTTGCACCTATGTAGTGCAGGACGCAAGTATTTCGTGATGATAAAGAAAACGAATGTAAGAAAAGCTATTCACTGGGATATATATACGTAATATCATATAACAAATCAAAAACGTATATTATATACATTTATACTAAACCCTTATTAATAAGAATACCTARTTAGATTTTTTTTAAAGAATTGTGCTGAATTTACATCAGGCATAAATGTGTCTTATTGCACTCCATTATTGATTGCCAATAAGGCCTATTTTAGAATTTGGGTATGTGTTTTCCGCGTCATCTCAGTCTGGTCCAATTGATATAAGCTTGAGAAATAACACAGTCGCTTTTYATAAATATGTTTGGTTATAAAATTGGCTTTATCAATACGTCTACTTCAAATATTGCTATCCTCATTGGTCTATAGTATGGTTAGTGTTATACTTGTAATCGGAAGCACACTGATGATTTGTTAGTGTTAGTGTAAAAATTAATAAACGCTACGATAGATCGTTTTTGAGGGTTTTCATCACAAATTGGATTTAAAGTCCTTTCTTTTAAATTTTTATTCGAGGAGAAGTTTCAAGATGGCATTGATGTTATACGATCAATAGAGCTATTTTTATTTAAATAGAAATAAAGACCTTAAATTTGCAACAAATAGTGACTATAATATCAAATGGTTATAACATTGATACAATACGGAAATATAATTTTATTAAACGCCTATATAATATACCTACCAATATCGTGAAGGTTGATATAGATATCTATGCTTTTTTAAAAATTTAATACATTTTAAATCCAATGATATCTAACTATTGTATTTTTTTTTCTACAGTCTACAATTGTGTACCTATATAGTACCTATTATTCATACTAAAATGCTTGATAAAAACCTAACCTAAGCACAATATTAAWATATATAGGGCGATCAGTTTTTAGACTATGTAACGTTTTATAAAAACATCAAATGATTTTAAATATTAATA